TATGTGGAAATGCAGGTCAGTGCTTCACCAGCAGGGGGCAGTAGCAGGGTGAGAGAGTGTGGCAGGGTGACTGCACTCCCTGATGATTTTAGAGGTTTTCCTCCAGCACTGTCTGGTGTATGCGGCCTGCAGGGGGCAGTAGCAAGTTGAGCAGAGCATGGCAGGAGTTGCTTGGTACAGGGACAGTGGTGGACATTTTGAAGCAAGCAGGGACAGCAGACCGGATGAGGGAGAGATTAAAGATGTCTGTGAACATTACCACCAGCTGATCCATGCACACTCTGAGAACCTGCCCAAGGATGCTGTCCAGGTCAGCAACCTGGTGAGGATTTACTCATCATATGGTCTTGCACACCTCATCCACAGAGACTGAGAGCATGGAGAGGTCAATGGTGGCATGCAGTCCTCTGGGCGTTTGCCTCAAAGCGAGCATGAAACACGTTCAGCTCTTCCAGGAGAGATGTGGTGACACATCACACTGGCTTTCCCTCTCTGGGCTATTTTGGTGTTCAGACCTTGCCTCATGCTTCATTTCTTGCCATTCAGTTGCATTGCAGTTCATCCCTGTACACGCACTTGGCTGCCTGTATTGTCTCAGGGAGGGTGCAGCTGGCATGTAAAAATGACACCCCACCCCATTCCAAAATGAAATGCAGTGTGTCCTTTGTTTTAGATTATGAACTGGAAGCATTAAATGAATGTTCCATTTTGCACTGTTTTGCAATGTTTTAATTTGGTAGATGCATTTAAATTTATAAGGCTACTGATAATTTGTTTTGGTTTGATAAAGACATTTTTACAGTATTTTGCAATGACAACTGTGCGAGAGTGTGTGTGCATACTTGTTTAACTGGATGTGTTGGTAACCTTTGTATTTCCTGAATTCACAAAACAACGGCAAAGCCCCATTGTTGTACCTCTTATAGTTGTTTTCTTCTGACTTCAGTCTTTGCAGGTAGCTGCCTTCCTCTTCACTGTGTGCCATGTCGCCATTGTGGTTCAGGACTGGTTCACTGATATCAATCAGGTATTTGGCAAAACACCCAATACACTTAGGAGTACTGTAAAAATCTTGTAGCTAAAAAATCCATTCAAATATTTTTATTAGTCAACTGGCTAAAATTCTTAGATTTCAGTTGGGTGTTTGCAGCTAGTTACATATTTTTGATGAGTTAGTTTTACAGCTTGAGAGTGTGATGTTAAAGGTAACAGGCGCTTCAGCAATGATGGGAATTGCACCATTCGGATTATAAATCAGGTTAACATCTAACTTCCTTGTTAGATGCTAAACTGCATTTCATTGTACCTGTACAATGACAATAAAGTTGAATCTAATCTAATCTCTAACACACTTAAGGCTTCTCTTCAGGGACAAGTTCCTAAATGTGTTTGATAACTTTTGTTCTATAGACAAGTGTACACAATATATCATCCGTTTACGCATCAAATATTACCTACATCAAATAGTACCTTTTGTCTCGAGCCGTTCATTGTGACAGAAAAGCAATAAACAGGGGAATGGGAGTAAATACTTTCTCATGGCCCTGTGGTTGCTGGCAGTTCATGTGACAAATAACTTTACATGAGGATACAAATAATACTGCTTAACCTCAGAGAGACATAAGCACTTGTAAAGCAGTTTCTCTGAGTAGACCTGAGTGCGATGCCCCTCCAGGT